AAACACATGTTTCACGGTCCTATAAAGGCCAAAAATTGGAAAATTTTATGGTTTCTTGAAGAATAGTAATTTTGCTTCCGTTTTTTACAACTGGGAGAATTTGACGAAAGTCTCCACCTAAAATTATTATTTTATTTTCAAAAGGTTTATTACTACTAGATAAATCTTTAAAGGTCCTATCAACGATTTCTAACGCTTTTTTCGGTATCATAGAAGCTTCATCCCAAATAATTACTTCTACATTACGTAATTTTTGTTTATTCGGCTCAAACTGGAAGAACGCACTTTCTATAGTGCTTAAGTCTAAAGGAAGTCTGAAAGTTTTGTGAGTGGTCATTCCCTTTGGAAGCAGAATAGAAGCAATACCTGTCCAAGCCATTGTAAGAAAGTTCTCTGTGGATGTTAAAAGAAGAATTTTTTTTTTCGTTGCAATTTGGGAGTCGAATTCACTGTCACATTTTTGTTTAGACAATTTGTAAATTTTAATAACGAATTTAACAAAGAAAAAGTAAACGAAGAAAAAAATACAAAGGGGCCAAAACTTTAGTTAAAAAAAATTGAAAGAAAAAAACCAATTAACTAACGATACTGTTAAAACAAAATCAATTTGTAATTCTGACAACATCGTAATTTTTTAATTTTTGACGATATTTAAAATCTTTCAATACGTTATAGTTTAAAATATATAAAAGTTAGGCATTAGTCAGGGGATATAAAAAATTATTGTTGAAAATTCATATTATTAGTTATGATCAATATATATTGATAACGTCTATTAATTTTAAGTAACAATTAATATAATTCGTGTTTTTTTCCATACTTCATAAATCAATATTTGCAATTACGGGGGTTGGTGTGCAGAGCGCGCGGAGGGCAGATATAGTTATAAGAGTTTAGAACGAGGTCTTAGAAATATCTGTTGACACATACAGGATAGACAGCTCATTTAAAAAAAGGGCCCACTAGAAAGAATAATAAAGCCCACCAAAAAAAATTCAAGGGCACATCTATTTTTTTATATAAACTTTACCACTTTCATTCGAAATTAGCAGCTTGTTCTTCATATTTCCTTCAAAGCAGCCCAGTAATCATGTTCCAGCGTAGAACATGTATTCCCAAGTATTTTCGAAAAATGCTGTAGTCTTCCGAATTCTGTCAAATATAGTTAAACGTATTTTGTTTTTACCAGTTTCTTAAATAAAGGAATTCTTTAAAAATTATTCAAAGAAACTGAAACCTGTTACAGCAAAGATAACGCAAAGCATAAATAAGTTAACTAGTATTCGTGAAGATTCAGCACTTCATAAACTTAGTTAAAAAATAAGTACAATAGTAATGCTAATTAAAAATTTTAGCCTATTAGATAATACATGATAAGAATTACTCAATCATAGAAATACAGTGTACAAAAAGAAGTTATTACAGAAGAAAAACTTGGAAATAAAGTTCTTATTACAAGAATAACTTTTTACACTGGAAACACTTTTGTACTACCTTTTATTTTATATCCTAAGCAATTCTCAATAGCTGCAGCATTTGCTATGACTATCAATTAATCTCAAAATCAATGTTTTGATAATGTTGGTTCACACTTCGGAAAACCAGTATTCTCTTATGACCAGTTTTACGTAACTTCATTAAGTTGTAAAAATAAAAATAATATATACATCGAAGTTAAAAGAGATGATTTGTAAATTAACAATATTGTTTGGAAAAAGATTTGAAAAGAATTGTTGTGTTACTAAAATTCTAATATTTACATGCAGGGGGGGGGAAGGCACGTTGAGCAGGGCTGCAAAGTGTGGCACCTTAATAATATTAATATTCATGCATTTTAAAAATAAGTTTTCATAGAAATTTAATAAAAAAGGCTCTTACTATCATCCTCTGAGTTTTTAATGTCATATGATAACGTTTTCTCTTTATTTTATAGTTTTTAAATGTAGTGTACTGAAAAAAGGTTTCCTTCATTTCTCAATAGCTTGAAGCAGG